TTTTCCGTTCGCCAGAAGGGCAAATCCAGGATAACTACTTTTCCTCAAGCACCACCACTAGTAGAACGGACGAAGCGCTGAGGATGTCTGCAGTACGCGTTGTTGCGAATCAGCTTGCTTACCCTAGTACTCTGGTTCATACGAGGAAACAATGGGGGACTGCGAACACCGGGAGGCGGGAATAAGGCATACTGCACAGAGCGGGCTCTACAGCAATGGTTGAACGATTTGACAGATTTAGCGGGTAGGTTTCCATTGTAGGAAACAATGGAGGATCGAGGTTGATCTGCATCCGCTATGATTGCCACTAGGTTCCCGTTTTCAGTTTTCATGAGTCGTGACAAAATAGAACTAGGCTCATCACCGACAGCCGAGCCTCTGAAGTTGGGACTGCCAACACCGGGAGTCGTGGATAAGGCATAGTGCAGAGAGCGACGACAGTGCGCTCTTGGTTTCCCGCAGTCATGGGTGACCCTCTATGAGGCTTTGACACGGTGTCCGCCGTAATTGATTGGTAAAGAGAGGAGTCCAAACCTGTTCCTGTTCTCAGATTGTTAGCCTTCACCCCAGCAGACCGAGCCGGATCTGCTTTATTGTTTGCTAACAATGAAATCAATTTCTCATTTTCGCTCGTCACCATTTCTTTGAGTCCCAGTGTTGTTGTCCGATCTCTCCCCTCCTCTCCTTTGTGTTGTTGATGGTTTTCTTGTCTCTAGTACCTATATGTGGATGCTGATCGACTAAGAACGTGAGTTGTACAATACATGAAAAGGGCTCTTGATGGAATGTCTTTGCGTGCTCCCATGTCCGACGCGCAACCCCCTTGATCCCAGCCAACCTGCTTTTCCCGAAGGTGTCATTTGTAGGACTTATGGAGCCTCTTTCTCGGAATTGTCTGGATCTGTTTCTCTTGCGGGTTTCCCACCACGCACCTTTGGATCTTAAATGGCAACAACATTTGCTCAACCAAGATCACCATGGTTAAAGTTCAAGACTTAGTTTGCTTCCTACCGTACTTGTGCTAACTACAGGCAAATAGCGTTCCCACGACTGATGGTAACACTCACTGTGTCTCGGCCGTTCCATAGTCGTGACATTATCTTGAGTGGATGTCAATGAATTAAAGCCCTGGCAGCAAATGCCAAGTCTTGCGTCAGCTGGATTATCTTCACGAACTATGATCCCCTCCTCTCCAACAGGGCTGCCCTCTCACACTGGCTGTCAAAAGCACTGTATAGAGCCTGACCTGCCATGACGGGTTCCCCACCACGCTCCCTTGGGTCTTCATAGCTTATTGATCACGATGGGATCTCACACTGGCTGTCAATTGGATCTTCACAATTTTGCGCTTCACCGATGCGCGCTTACCACCTGATCAGTAGAGTTCCCATTGCCCCTTGTTACACTCTAAGTGGTCAAGGTTGCGCCGCTGCGAGGGGTTTTGTGAGCTTCACCGATGCCCTCTCTCAAATGTTGAGCCAACTTTCTCAGAACAGTGAAAATTTCAGCAAAATACCTCTCTTCCTCCTATGTTCCTATAAGAGCTCGATGATGCGCCTGTGGATGAAGCGTTCTAGAATGAAGTTAACAAATGCAGATCTCCTCAATCTCGCCTCATGCAATAAATGTGCGTAGACTCACAGCACAAACCATGAACTCTCTCTCTCTCTCTCTCTCTCTCTCTC